CAGTTGTATTCGAGTATTCAGTAGTACATGATCTTGGTAAAAATGGAGGCATGTGCGGTTTTTGATGCTCTATAAAGACCGCCTTACTTGTTTTCTCCCACGATTAGTTAATTTCGTGACTGACCTGTCAAACCAATAACGGGATGGGAGCACAAGCAGAGAGATAACCAAGGTGTCGCGGATGTGACGGTGACCGTTGGGCGCATCCGCGCCCCGCCGCATTTGCGCTCCCCACATGCGTCACTAGCCACGCCCCTTCAGTCGAGGCCAACAGTCAAGCACAGATCACCGAACACTCGTCGGTGACTCTAATTGCTGCCTGCCGATGGCAGGTCGGTGTTCACCGGGCAACGTGATGAGGCTACTGCAAAGGAGGACGTCTCCTAGGAGCCTAATTCGGCAAATCACCCCATCCCAAATTCGGTCGGTCTTCCCGTGCTCCCCGTCTGAAAGCAGCCTTTCAACCGGTCCCAATTAGCACACGCCGAGAAGGAGCCTCGAGAAAGAACTCGAGTGCACGTAGGGGCTTATAGGTGAGGCAGCCGGTGCGGCTCACCTCATCCTGGCGTGACCTTTGGAGTGCACAACTTATTGTGAGTTACAACATGTACTAGATACATACATATGAATTAATAATTGATACATATGAATTCCATGTTCCTTGTCTACGGTTCTTTGTCCCATTATAGTTTGCTACAGTATTATGGGTTTCATATCGCTCCTTCTGCAGATATGACTGCGGTTCGTGTAAGGGGCCGTCTATGTTGCACGGCGGAAGGATCCTAAGGTCTTTGCAGATTATGTCCGCCTCGTCTGCGAGGGTTCGCAGGAGAAGCTTCGTGGTTTCGATGGGGCTCTGAGGCCCAAAATGTCTTGAAGCGTGCTTGAGCGCTCGATACACCGGTGCTATCGCTATGGAGGTAATGCTCGTGGCACAAGTTTTGTAATCTGAGGCAGAACTTCGAATCCCTAGACATCGCCATTATCACTTTTCGGCGACATCTCCATTTGGCCATGTCACATATTCGAGCAGAGCCCTCTACTGGGTCTTCTTCGCTCCAAAGACACAAACGTGATCATGTTTTTTCGTGCGTAGCTTCGATTCAGGGTCTGACCATCGGGCGAGTGATTGTCTTGGTATTCTCTGAACGTTCAGAGGGATCCAATCAGTAACCGCTCTGGTTCGACAGTCACAACAGAATTGCACTACACGTGTTCGATTCCTTGGCGAAAACGGCGGTGTGCCCGATCTTTGAGCGTTGATGAGGTCAGAATTGCCAATTCTCCTCTACTTCCACTCAGGGTCAACCGTTACGTTGGACCGATATTGGAGC